CCCAGCCCCCAGCAGCGGCAACCTGCTGTGGTCCCCTTCCACGCTGTGGAATCTTTGTTCTTTGCTCTTCACAGTAAATCTTGCTGCTGCTCACTCTTTGGGTCTGTGCCACCTGTAAGAGCTGTAACACTCACCACGAAGGTCTGTGGCTTCATTCTTTAAGTCAGCAAGACCACGAACCCACCCGAAGGAACCAACTCCCGACACAGAAGCACAGGCCATCTCCCTTGGCCCAGCTGCCTTTTGAGGGTGCTCATACCCTTCCCAGGTGTCCACAGTTTAAGATCACCCAGCATCTGCTCTAGTTAGAAGGGTGCATCAAGGAATGGGAAGCATTGGCTGAGGGGGACCACCAAGGAACACCCGCCTGGGCTGGCCTTTCTCCTGGGTGTGTCCACAGAGAGTTTTTGCCCAAGAATTTCGGTATAGGTGAGAAACAGGAGGGATGGGTGGGGCTGTATCGGGAGTTGGTTCCTTCAGGTGGGTTCCTCTCACTGACCAAGAATGAAGCCATGGACCTTTGCGGTGTTACAGCTCTTAAAGGTGGCACAGACCCAAAGAGTGAGCAGCAGCAAAATTTAGGGTGAAGAACAAAAGAACAAAGCTTCCACGGTGCTGAAGGGGACCCAGCCGGTTGCCGCAGCTGGCTGGGGTGGCCAGCTTTTATTCTCTTAGTTGCCCCTGCCCATGTCCTGCTGATTGGTCCATTTTACAGAGCACTGATTGGCCCATTTTACAAACCTCTAGCTAGCTACAGAGCGTCGATTGGTGCGACTTTACAGAGCACTGATTGGTGCATTTTACAAACCTCTAGCTAGCTACAGAAAAGTTCTCTAGGTCCCTACTAGACCCAGGAAGTTCAGCTGGTTTCACCTCTCAGGGCTATGAGACTTCCGTCTCTTCTTGCGGGTCTTTTAATAAGTCCCCTTCCTCTCTTAGCTGGAGTTCTCCAAAAACCACAAAGAGAAAGACTGCCCTATGTCCGAACTGGGGCACTTGCATTTCTTCCTTTTCCCTCCACCGTTGTTCTGGGTAGGGCTCCACATTTCCTTAAGCACTGTGGCCACCTCCTGCCCCAAGGCAGCTAATTTGGGTTGTGCAAGGTAAGGTCCATAGCGGTAAGATTCACGTCCACCGGTCAAGCAGCCCCAGGCCCTGTAAGCGATTCAGCGTGTGGGCGGAGCCGGCGGCCGGTGGCACCACACATCCGGACCAATCGCCGTCCCCGCCGCGGCATCCCGCGCCCCAAATCACACTGCGGGAAGCCCCAGCGTTGGTGCCTGTTTCGTCTGCGCATGCGCTGGCCCACGCCTGCGCCCTCGGCCGCCGTCAGTGTTCCCGAGTGGTCGCTCTGGTTGAGCCGCGCAAGCTCTGGCCTCGCCTTGTAGGCTGGTCGCGTCAGAGGGTGGGGCGGGTCTTCGCCCCGCAGCGTCTAAGCTCTGCTGCGACGTTATGGGCACCCTGGTGACCCGCGGCACACTCTGGGACGCCAGGGTAGTGGATAGGGACAGTGGGGGGCGTCACGCTGCAGGGCACGAGATCAGAAAGGGATGCAAGAGGAGGGGACGCCATTCTGGCCGCCAAGGGGGAAACGTGGTGAAGCGAACGCCCGGACTTTCGAGTTCCCAGGGCTGAGTCCCCAGCACTCCAACCCAGCAGAGGCGCCGGGGCCTTAGCTCTGAGGGCTGTGGTCTAGAAAGAGAAGCAGCAGACCCGGGGCTGGGGCGCGCGCCGACCCCACAGTGAGACCAAGGGAAGAAGGGACGGGACCCCGCGAAGGGCCTACGGCCCCAGAGCGTAAACAGCGGCCCGCTCTGCGGAATAGCTGAAGACCTCTCTAGCCTGCGGCTCAGTGGCCTCCCCGGCGAATCGGGGACAGCTCTGGGGGTCCTCGCTAAGTGTATGCCATTCCCAATCCCTTCTGTGCGCCTGCCGACGCTTGCCCTCCCCGAACAGTACTGTCCCTTTCGCGTCCTCCAGTCTTCACACGACGCAGCGGTCCCCAAGGCAGCGGTCTCCCCAAGCTTCCCGTTTCAGCCCCATCCTCGAGAATGGGCTCCTTTCCTGCTCCCTTTCCGCTCCTGCTGGCGAGTGGAGACCCGCATCTAGGTCCAGACGCGGCTGCGCTGCACCTCCTAGCCATCGAGACAGGATATGACTCCCTCCCCTGGCCACTGACTCCCTCCCTCCCCAGGCGGCCTGCATCCTTGCTCTCCTTCCTCCTAGCCCACCCAGCTCGGGGTGCTGTCCTCCTCGCCCGGAGACCTGAGGCTCGGGGCTGCAGACGGAATGCACGACTGGGCGGCGGGGGCCCTTTGTTTGTGTGTGCGTGTTGCTGGCCTCCATCCCCACTCCCCAGACTCCACTTCTCAGGGCCTCTCTCCCGCCTTTGCATCCCGCATCCGCAGGACACCCAATCACCGGGCAACAGGTATGTTCAGGCGCCTCCGGGCTTTCCTCCGAATTAGTCGGTGTTTGGCTCGGGGTGCGTAACTCTGTCTCGCCTGCACTCTGCCTCCGGTCCCGCCCTCTCCTGTGCCCCCGCCTGGCTGCGCTCACCGTGGCATCCTGCCCGGCGTAGTGGCTGATGACCCGGGAGCCCCCTGGATGCCGGCGGGTGAACTCGCTGATGTCGTACACCTTACGGTCGATCACTAGCCACCGCTCTTCGCACCCCGAGCGCTGCGCCACCTCGTCCCAGGTGAAGTAGCGCGGGGTAGGTCCCTGAACCGGGGTCTCGGCGGCCACCGGGTCGGGGGCCATGGCTGGCC